GCTCTTTGTATTAAGCTAAAATAAGAGAATGTCAATAAATCATTGATTTCAATAAATTTAGGAGAATAATATTTTGTTTATATTGTCTGTAGATGATACAAAAATTTCTCTTCGTCCATCTTTTTTTGAGCTATTCTTGGATAATTATTGAAATTTTTCTGTAAATAATGTACTTGCAGTTTTTTTTTAAATCACCATATCTTATAATTTTAGAGCCCAAAGTGAGCCCAGCTACCTTCTGCCGTGTATTCCCATTCCACCTGATGTTCGACCGAGAACTGAACATCGTGCAGGCTGGCCGCACTGTCTCCCGTTTGATGCCGAGGGTCACTCGTCCAGGATGCAAGATCACTGATGTACTGGACACGGTACGTTTCATATTTTGGACGATACTTTTGAATTGGGTTTATGTGTATGGTTGTGATGGCGGTACGCGGGAGAGTAATTAAACACAAAAAGGTGGTTATAAAACTAACTTTATTTTAATAAAAGGACTCTTTTTACAGTAATTAGAGATTACATGATTTATATCACGGTACTGGTATGTAGATGTTGTCATAAGTTGTTCAAAGTCAAAGTCAAAAATCATTTAATTCAATTAGACCACGGTAGGCACTTTTGAACGTCAAGCAAGCAAAAAAGGAAAAAAATATATAAAAAGAGCTTTAAAATTAAGCGTGTCAGTCTGTCCGTCTGTCCTCTAGTGAAGCTATTTGCTCGTTCCAAAGTGTAGATTCCTATAGAGAAGAACGAGTAAGAAACTCCATGGTTACTCTTTTTCAATCAGTTTTACAATACATTTCTTTGTTACATCATTTAGTCGGTTCGGTTGCCTCCTATGGTATTTAGGTTAGACTTCAGGTTCCAGATGTTTATACTTAGATACTATAACAACCTCAATTAACAATAATTGGCAGAGAAGAATAATTGTTACCGCTACTTTTCTTCAGGGTATCGAAAGAACTAACTAAGAGACTTTGCATATCATGAGGGTTTGCAGGACAAGCGCAATAATGAACTGCAGCCTCAGCCTGGAACAGGAGAAGTAGCGGTGAGGTTTTTAGTCAGTATTCTGACATACCCTCTCGCCGTATCTATGGCAAGTTGATTTTCCCCCCTTGATTAAAGAGGACTGATATGACCAGTGCCACGCATTCAGTCAGCGTTTGAATTGTGTATATATGACAAATTCCCTTTATATAGAGTACATTGTGAGAGTGTAGGTAAAAAATAATAATGATAAAACTTTTTTAGGTACGACCTCATTTGGAGATGACATTCGCGAATGTTCTCGCTCACATCAACACGGTGTATGTGCTGAAGACTAAGCCCGAGGAAATGGTGTCAGCTCCTGATGAGGATATTGCTTCTCTGCGTTTGAAGGTATAATTCTCTTCTAGCAAAATAAATCAATATTGATAAACGAACGATGCGTCTTTCGAAGGCTTTAGTCTTTTTAAAAATGTTGCCCTGCACTAGGATTTTCTCCTGTGTCGTGAGTGCGTTGCATTTACAAATGTACAATCTCACATTATAAACATCACATCCAGACCCTGAACAACAATTTGTAAATCACATAAAGTGTTGTTCCGTGCGGGAACCGCATCCATGACACGCTGAGTGACAGCGTGTTGCACATTCACATCCACCGCGCTAACCGTGCAGACAACCTTCATTATAACCACGGGATAAATTTATGGTAGCCCATGGTTCTTAAAAATTACGTTTTAAAATTCTGAATTTAATTTTTTCTGGTAATTAGTGGCTATTCTGACATAACAACATTGCCAAATTCTTCTGTGTAATTTCTTTAAATAAACCTTTATTAAAATTACCAACCTTTATAATTCCAGGGTCAAATGCTGTATATTCCGGAGACAGACGTTGTGGTGTTCCAATGCTATCCCAGCGTGACCAACTTGGATGACTTGACTCGGTAATTTTAAAATCTTATTTCTCTCTCTTTCTTCTTATATATAAAAATGAATCGCTTTTAATTAATCTCGCTAAAACTCGAGACAGGCTGGACAGACATAGCTTATTGTGATCTTGAAATAATCCTGGGCACACAGGAAAGATAAAAAAAACATATAATCTAGTGCTTGACTGCAATCCCACCGGATTGTAAGCACTGGGGCCATCGTTGATGGTGTAAGGTTTAAAAAGTCAGAATATGAAAAATAAACTAAAAAAAAAAATATTAGGGGTCTGAGTAATATATCTCAGGCAGTATAAAGATTGCCGGGTCATCTAGTAAAATAAAAAAATCTCTCTTCTTATAGGCGTGGTCTTTGCATTTCTGACATACCACTTCATGATGCTACTCGGGACCTGGTTCTCATGTCCGAACAGTTTGAGGCAGACTACAAGCTGACGCAGAATCTGGAGGTGCTTACTGATAAGCTGCAGCAGACCTTCCGAGAACTGGACTCTGAGAAACAAAAGACCGACAGGTATTTATTTGTTGTCTTGTAAATTTGGGCTATTCAGAGCAAAGTGTTATAGCATGAGCTTATGTCTTGACGATGTGTGTATTAGATCTATTACAAAAGATTTCAGGTTGTAAGTCTGATATCTATAAATAGGTTTGACATAGCCACATAGAACTTTCGTTTCAATTTTAGGTATTTATGTATATGAGTTGAAGTCACTCCCAATCACTCCGGTGGAATTCAATCACACTTCCATGCTTCCTTAAGGCAAAATGCGTTACAAAGCAATACATATGTAGTTGAGTTGTTTAAAAAAGTCTGTGATATCTCATCAAAAGGAACATATCAATTGAGCCATACCAGTAAGTGATTTACAATTCTTGTGTTGGGCTGACTCAGTTCTAAAAAGGCAAAAAAATATCAATTTCATCGTATTCTTCTTCACAGGCTCCTCTACTCAGTTCTGCCAATCAGTGTAGCCACTGAGCTCCGTCACCAGCGCCCAGTACCAGCTCGTCGCTATGACACCGTCACCTTACTCTTCAGCGGCATCGTTGGGTTCGCCAACTATTGCGCCCGGCACACCGACCATAAGGGAGCTATGAAGATTGTCAGAATGCTGAATGATTTGTATACAGCGTTTGATGTACTAACTGATCCGAAGAGAAATCCTAATGTGTATAAGGTAAGCCGAAATTTAGAGTTGTTTTTGTATTGCATTGTTTAAGTGAAGGCTTGCTTGATACTAATATTTGAAGTACAAGCGTACTAAATTAAAATGGCACATATTTTTATTATTTTCACCAAACGCCTTACCTTCAACGATTTCATCACTGCTTACCATCAGGTGTGATAGCAGTATACCTATAACACTTTTATATTTTTCTGATTTTGTCAAATGGCCTCTGGTATATTGGGAAAATTCTGGAATAACAGCTTTTATTTTTCTTCAAAAATACTTAAAAACTAAATGCATATTTACACACCCCACAAAACTGCTTATGCAGTTGAACTGTGAGACTATTGAATGTACTCGTATTAATATTTTATAAAATTTGTTACAAAAAGGTATTTCTAATCTTATTCTTAATTTGAATTAAGATTTTGTGTTATAAAAAGGAATGCTGATTACAGGTGGAGACAGTTGGTGATAAATATATGGCCGTGTCTGGTTTGCCGGAGTATGAAGTTGGTCACGCCAAGCATATCTCACTGCTTGCTCTGGAGATGATGGATCTGTCTCAAACTGTTACTGTTGATGGAGAGCCTGTTGTAAGTAACTTATTCTAGTTCTATCTTTGAATTTTAATTTTGATGCTATTGTTATAACAATCCTACTTTTTTTTGCAATATGTGGTTACTGGCAACATCAAAGTTTCGATCACTTAAAAGCCAAGCTTCAAAACTTCTTCGCTCAAATGAATCAGATCGACAGGAGTACAGGATACTACAGTTTCTTTGAAAACCAGCGACAAAAATAGTAGCAAACAACAAACATGTGAGTTAGGAACTACTGGAGAGAATTGGGTATCTCTAAATTACCTATCCTCTTCAACTAGTACGCCATCAGGTTTGTTCGGTTTGCATCCTACGCTAAAAATCTTGGAAGACTTTATTTGAATGGGCGGTTTACCATTAATTTGACACATTATTTCAGAAAATAAACCGTCATTTGTCTTCTAGGGCATCACCATCGGTATCCACACCGGAGAAGTAGTGACTGGTGTGATTGGTCACCGCATGCCCCGATATTGTCTCTTCGGGAACACCGTCAACTTGACCAGCCGCTGCGAGACCACTGGTGTACCTGGTACCATCAACGTTAGCGAAGATACTTACGGGTAAATATTTCATCTGTAATTTTTGATCATCAACTACCGCTAAGGAGTGGAATTCTTTGCTAGACTCTATGTTCCCCAAAAGGGTAAACTGGGTGTCTTCAAGAGCCGAGAGCTTAGGTTGTTTATGGGTAGGTAGGCATGCTCCATCGTAGGTCGCATTATTGTTCAGTTCGCCAGACGTGATAGCTGCCAAATGTCTGCCCACAACATAAAAAAAAACAAAATATTTGGCAAGGGTAAGAGGGGTCGTGACTGAACCACAGGTACTAGGTGTCTGAAGTGAGACCCAGCATAAATTCTAGAACTTCACTAAATCAATTACCTTCATATATTTTATGCTTATGCTTGTGTCACATTAGTGTAATCCAGGGATAGCTGGGATTGCGAGTCAAGCTCAATAAGATACGGCGGCCTCGGCCTACAGTAAAAGGAACGGAGTGGTTTTAAGTCAGTAAAAGCGTCACTCCCGAGAGAAGTCATTCGAACATTTTCCTTCCTCAAAAATAAGCTAAGAACATAAATGATAATTTGAATAATGCGGATTGTGCAGAAGTTGTTTTTAATTGCAATTGATTTCGATGGCCAGTCTTATCAGGTGATTCAAATAATAGTCGTTTGGAATATTGTCCTCATAGAAACTTTAAATTATTTTGTCAAATTTACCATTTAATAATGAGAAAAGGACAGATTAAACATTACAATGAAAGCAACATATCAAATACAAACTTTAATCTTCACACAAGTCTAAGTATCGTTTCAAAGACATAGGTACAGGTAACTTCTGAATTCCAAACGGTAGCTCAAAATTACTCCACAAAATTTGCCTGATTTTACACCTCGACAAATGCTTCAATTCAACTGGTTTTAGTCCACATCTAGAAGCTGGAACCAAATGATCGGCCAAAATATCTCCATATTTTTCCAACATCAATTTTCTTTGGTAATTGTAGTCTTCGGGTAGTTCCAAATGCTTTAGCACATTTTTATCGACTGATAAAGAAATGCTGGGAACAGCTCTCATAGCCAATTTTAAACAAGATACTAATTCATATGGATATTTTCTGTTATATTCATTCAAGCGATCCAAGATGGATTCTATGGGATTGGTTGAGACTACATCTGACGTTATCCTGGCTCCAAATCTTAGTAGTATCATTAACATTTCTGATGCTCCCATTTGTATAACGACCCTCACAGGAGAAGCATGACCACAGCTCTCCAAAGGCACATCAATGAATCGATAGGTTTTTCCATTATCTTCATATTCTAGGTTAGCGTTAGTTGCATGGTCTAGAAAGAATACTAGAGCGTGAACGTTTTCTTCTTTGTCCATGAAGTCAGATTTCCAACCAGCTAAGAAGTACGGTGCTGATGTGCCGAAAATTGCTCCTGGAATTCACATTATTTCTAAATTGAATCTTACTTCAGTCTAAGTATGTGCAATATTTTTAAAGCTTCTGAATTCCAAATTATAAATTGAATTTTATTTATATATTGTATATACATTTTGTAATTTATGATAAAAATACTAAATAATTGCCTAAACAATATGTTTTGAAAAACGTAGCTGTTGCCATTATATATGATTTCGATAAACCTACAAATAACTAGTAAAATTTGCTAATATAATCAATTAATAATATTTATATAAATAAATAAGTGTGCGAGAGCCGTGCTTTGGCATGATATTGTCGGCTCAAACAAATTGATACCACAGCCTCAAAGAACACCAAAGTGAAACAACGCTTGGGTTATGTTTCGCCGTATGAGTGAGGTTACCGGAGGACTCTGTCCTTGAATCCCTCATAATCCCCAACTCTAAATCCCAAACTCTTTTGATAATAGTGTCCAGTGGCAGCGCCAATTGCGTACCATCAGGTAATCCGTCTGCTCATTTACCGACCTATTATAAAAAAAAAAAAAAACATACCTAAGAATATTCTTTCAAAGGTCCTCTCACAGGCGTACAGCTCGTCCAACAAAGCTGCCACCACACCATTGTCTTGCAAGCTCCAATCAAAAGCCAGCTTCATGGCGACGTAAAGAAGATTATGATACTTCCCCATAAGGCAAACATCTCCGTTCTTTGTCTTACAATTATTATGATAGCGTAATGCTGATATCACGAAGTTCTTGCATGATGTGTTGTCTGAGTGATTTTGACCTGGACAGAAAAAAATACGAAATTATTTTTATTGTTTTTCTATACTAAGATTGTCTCCTGCGCCGTTGGCGTGTTAGACATACAAATTGAAATCACAATACATATTGTATTGGCAAATAATATTAATCTGAGAAAGCTTTCATTATTTAGTAGTTATGTGATTTTCAAATAATAAGTAATTATCCTACGATCCTGGTACTATTAATTTCGAGTAGGTATTGTTGAGTTTCTTATTATTAAATAATTAAATCGAATATTTGTTTATAATAACTAGAGAGCAAGAAATTGATTATTGATTAAAATAGTCTCGTTTATAAACCGTTATTAATATGTCACATGGTCTATGCAATACATTTATTTTATCACTTCATAAGCTAATCACAAAAAATAAAAGAATAAAAATGAAAATAACCTCTAGCACAGCCAGCGATAACAGTATTAAAATACTCAACCAATTCCCGCCGTTTGAATCTCTCATTCAAACAGTCGCGATCCAAATTACTGAACACTCCGTCAAAATAGTATTCCATGAACGAATCCATTATTAACACGCACGAAAAATAATTTAAATACAAAGAAAAAAAAACACAAAAAAATTATACCACAGATAATATTATAAAAATTTTGACTTAAGACATTATTTTTAATTTTGGAATTTTTAAATTGGCGTAGTTTTGTGTAAATAGTTTTTATTATTAATTTATTTACTTAGATGTGTCTCGTGGTACAGTTCTTACAACAATGGCAGTAAAATCAGTTTTTTACCCCTCAGTGTCGCAAGGAATACTTGCAAGTGTAGTTTAAGCTTCTTATTTGTAGGGAAGCCATAGGCTAGTTATTTCCTTATGAACAGGTGTGTCTGTTGAACTGTCGGTGCAGTAATAGTTCAAATGTTTGCATGATACTCGTATATACATTATATGCATGTAAACGCAACCACGACACGGGAAAAAACCTACTGTAGAGCTACGTTTATTAAAAAGAAACGTTATAAATTACCTACAATCGATAAAGGTATATACGAGTATCAAGCAAACATTCGAACTATTAATTTCACATACACATCACACCCAGACCCAGAACAACAATTTGTGGATAGCATGAAGAGTTATTCCGTGCGGGAATCGAAACTGCGACACGTTGCGCGGCAGCCAGTTGCGCAGCCACCGCGCCTACCGTGCAGTCAAATGTGTAACAAAAATGAATGAATTCAGCTAATAAGACCGCTTTTTGTACATTTTTTTTTTATTAGTTTGTTTTTGTATAAAATAAATAAATAATTAATGTGTATAAAAATTGTAACAAGTACAGGTGGACCTAATAAAATAAATATTAGGTGTGGTATTTCAAGTGTAGGAGAGCCATGCTTCGGCACGAATAGGTCAACTCGACCGAAGTGATACACAGAAAACCTTCACATAAAACCGGCGTGAAACAACTACAGCGTTGTGTTACGCTGTGTAAGTGAGCTTACCGGATGCCCAATTCTTTCCCTCCCCTAATCTCTAAATCTGCAAATCCCTAATACCAAAAAAAGGTCGGCAACGCACTCGTAACTTCTCTGTTTTTGAGGGTGTCCATTGGCGGCGCTGATTGCTTACCATCATCTGAGGGTAAGCAATAATCCGTCTGCTCGCTTGCCGACCTATCACTTAAAACAAAAATAGTCTGATCCTGATATCAAAATGGAACCTTATCTAGGTTCATACGCATAGCAACTAATAGTCGTAATGGAAATCTTGATATTATTATTTTTTTTCAGTTACCTTATGCGCGAAGATAACTACGACGAAAGATTCGAACTAACATACCGCGGCCATGTCTCAATGAAGGGCAAAGCTGAGCCAATGCAGACCTGGTTCCTGACAAGAAAGAAGATCTAAATTGAATCACACGAAATTCGACCTAAAATGCTTACCTATAACAATGAATTTATATAAACTTGTTTAGGCCTGAATTAATTCTTTAGCGATTTTCGTATCGTAGATGAAATAGTATGGATTTGTGTTAGAACAATACAAGCGTGTTTAGTATTCGTAATAGTTGTTGTAATTTCGACTTTATAGCGGTTAATACTAAGTTTCATCTTCTGTGATTTCCATTCTTATAGAAAAATATATCTTTATATTTAAATAATAATTTATTTATTGTATAACCAAAACTGCGTCATTTATATTTAAAAAAAATACGTTATTCTTATTTTAAATTTATATTCTATTTTATTTTTATATAGATTTTTTCTCTACATTCCGCGAGGAGGTTATGAATCTATAAAATATTCTTCTTATACTTGTATTTTGAGCCTTAAGATGAAGGCCTAAAGTATACTATACTAATTAAGATAGAAAATATATTCTACTCTATTTACTACTGTTGCTTTTTAGTTTGTTGTTTGTTAAAATTTTTATTGTATTCTAGTCAATCTGTATTAAAATTATCGAATATGCGGTTAATTCACGTAACTTTTCATTTTTCGATCACTTGGTTCAGTAACATTGTTTATTACTTAGGCTTATCATGATTATGAGCCACGACTATAGCTCGAAATCGGACGAGCGTGCCCGAAAAGTTTCGTGAGTTAACCGTAATAAAGTAAATTGTTTAGTACTCGATAATTATTATACAAACATCTTTATTTAGTTAAAGCTTTAATATTTATTGAATGTTCAATGCAATGGATTTTATTTCGTAAATAACCAAAGGTGTTGTAATATGTAATATTAATTCTACTATTGTGATAATCTATGTGAAAGAGTATTAGAAAATAAAAACTAAACTATATTTTGTGTTTTCAGTTCCCTAACTAACGTGAGACTTTTGATTGGCAAAGAAGCAGACGGATTACCTGATGGGTCGAGCCGACCCATTCGTACCGAAGCCGAATAAAAGTTCATGCTTCGTCATAAATGGTCCAATTTGACGTGACTGATAAATACGATCTACTCAAACGCTGGCAGCGTACTAGCAACTCCTTTGATATTTCAGATGTCCATTGGTGATGCTGATCACATACTAGTAGTTGGCTTATTTGCTCATTTATACCTTTCTTTACAAAAAAGTAAATTCAGGTTAAATTCTATTTCGTCTAATGGCTTTTGCCAGCGCTGATGATCTATTAAGTCAAAACCTATCACCGTGACACCTGATCCAACCAAAAAAGTAAGTCGGTAATTTTTTTTATATATGATCGGTCGGCAAACGATCATCCGATTACCGGTTCCTCCTCAATTCTTCTCCAATCCTATCCTTCCCCTCCCCCAATCCTAAAATCTCTAAATCAGCAAAAAAAATGGCAACGCACTTGTAACTCCTCTGTTGTTACGGGTGTCCATGAGCGATACTGATTGCTTACCATCAGGTAATCAGTTTGCTCGTTGGCCGTCCTATAACATGAAAAAGGAAATAGTTCTTAGAACATTGTACATGGACATTCACGAAAGAAATATGGTGAGATACAATATCAGCCAAATATTTTTTTTATCTGAACACAAATTTCCAATATATACGAGAGGATAAAATATAAGAAACAGGGACCTCGAAAAGGATATTTTAAAGTCGAAAAGATTACAAAAAAAAACTCGTTTCGCTGGTAATCAAGTACGAACGAACGGTGCGTAGAGGTCGCCGAACAACATTCCACATCAATGATTATTTTTAGGCATTCGCTAAAATCAGTGACTATATTATTATAATGTTTTATATGTGTTTGTGGTCGATGGAAAAAACATGGAAGGATACAATTTGACGGACGAAGATAATCATAATGATGACCTAGGCAATAAGTCTGTTGAAATTCTAAAAATCTGCTTAAGGATAGGAATGTTGTTGGATGTGACTTTTTCCGAGTTATATGTACTTTCTATGATTATTTAGACACCACTGACATACGGTGAAGGAAAACATCGTGAAGAAACCTTGAAGTTATAATTTCTAATTATAAGTTTGAAATCGCCAATCTGCCTTGAGCAAGCGTGGTGATTAATGCTCAAACCTTCTCCGTGTGAGAAGAGGTCTTTGCTCAGCAGTGGGCACCTATAGACTGATGACGATGATGATGAACTAGTCACGTAAAATTTCCTATTCACCATTTTCTTTAAAACGATCACCAGGGGATTGGGTAAGTCTTAGTTAGAAGTGTAAAGGTACGTACATCTTTCAAAGTTGAAACGTCTCCGGATGTATCATCTAGTACACCGATCCGCAGACGTTAACATATTTTCACTTTTTGCAAAGAGGTTCAATGAGATATTTTTTTTTTCTTTTTTTATGTGATAGGTCGGCAAACGAGCTAACGGATTATCTGATGGTAAGCAAAGACACTCGCAACGACGGAGGAGGAAGTTCCGAGTGCATTGTCGACCTTTGGGGATTTAAAGATTTTGGGAAAGGGAACGGATTGGTGTAGGGGAAGGATTGGGTCTCCTTACTCACACGGCGAAACACAACTCTTTGGTTATTTCCCGGTTTTCTGTGAGGCCGTGGTATCCCTCCGGTCGAGCCGACCTATTCGTGCCGAAGCATGGCTCTCCCACACTTAGATATACTTGTTTTTCTTTCTTGAATGGTAACTGTGGTGAGTGATTGGTGAGCCTACAACACAGTTTTAGTTGCGATTCAACGAACGGGGTGGCGCTAACATCAATAGCGCCATCATATAAATTACGCAAAATCTCTAGAGACAAAATTAATAGGAAGCCAAAAGTTCCAAATCACACCATTCGCTTGGTTTTGTACTAAGCTCAAATCAAGGTTGGTGACCAAGAGAAAATCGTTCCTAGTTAACACACCTGTTATCGTTTAATCAGCTAACTCTGGAATTACAATGTTTAAACTATTCTTGGTGAACTTGTCCTGAAGTAGTACGGACTATGGATTGAGCGTAATCGATACAAAGTGTATGTAAGTAACCAGTCTTATCATCATTAAAATTTGCTTCACTGTCACGCATGAATCTTAGACGATGGACTCCATTTACTGACACGCATCACGTATACTGTCAACTAAGCCCAGTATAATGTATAGGGACCTACTTGTAATGGATTGTTTACTGATGATTCCATTGGTATTTCGGGTGTACTTAAGCCGTGGTAACCGCTTCTTATCAAAAAGAGGCTTATATTCTCTGCTTCTACTGATACTAATATAAATAAAGCGGCTTCAAATTTTACAGAGGTGCTATTTATGTGTACATGAGGTATAAAGTTATAAATGCCTACATTTATCTTATATTATTATGTAGAACGAAAAAAATACCTTTGGAGGTTTCTTTCACTTTTTTTTTAAATAAAACATTGCCCGACACTGATTTTTTCCTGTTTACAAAGATACACATCACACCCAGACCCGGAACTACAATTTGTAAATCACACAAAGAGTTGTTCTGTACGGGAATCGAACCCGCGACACGTTGCACGGCAGCCAGTTGCCCAGCCACCGCAGCAACCGTGCAGTCTCAGTTTTGCTTCGACCTGAACTAAAAATTAATTCTAAAAGCATATTCCTTCAAATGCTCGAATCCATTTAAACTTTCCATCCTCGTTTATGGCTACACCATCGAAGCCTCATTGTTTTGCCAATAAATTAACAGTTAGCGCAAATTATTATAACCTTTATAGCCCCAAGCACACTTCGTTTTCTAACTCAACGGTCAATGAACCCAAAAATAAATATAATAGTTGCGTGCTGAAAAATACGTAACTCGATCTATAAACTTGGAACCGTTAAGTTAACTGTGTGCCGTCTGTGTTATGGAATACACATTACCGGTTGGTAAACGTTAAGAAAAACTTCGAGTAGGTATACATTGGGCCAATTTATGCAAATGATCAGTGACAGTAGTTTAAGCAACACAGTACCTAGTTAATATGACATTTGACCGTCTCATATGTATACTGGAGTACTCAATGTGAGTTATTTTTTAGTTTACGCGGTCGAAACATTGCCGTGTCTAACTCTCTGATTGGGTGGTTAGCTTGGTCTCAGTCAATTAGAGGCCCGAATGTCATAGACGTATTGGTTGGCCTAACGTAAAGCAAACTTGCATTAGGCTCTATGTGCAACAAGGGATATTAGGCTCTACCGATTAGAAGCGATCTAAATTTAATAACTTTTGTGACATTTACCTAGTCGGCAAAGGCTTGGCTTGTTTTGTTTATCTACATATTTCTACTAGTAAATTGTTGAGCCTTAATTTGGTAGTATTACAATAAATGACCCATGTTTTGTCATGAATGAGCCGGTTCGACCCAGAATATATGAGGTTACGGGAGACGCAGTCTTGTCACTTGCTGTTTCCAGTTCTCAAAACATTAGCCCCAAAGGGCCCAATAGACCACCGCAGACGGGGCCTTATAGTTTGGCCTTAGTTGCAGGTGCAATGTGGCACCGCAGCTTCGGCCTAAAGCAGAAGAAGGAACGGGGGGAGGGGTTAGCCAATAAGAGTCTGACACACACTCTCTCTTTCTCTCCCTCACTTGGGCGGGAGAAGTCATTTGAAGATTTACCCCTGACAAAAACATCAAGCGATCGGTCTACCCTTTTGCCAACGTATCACAAAAAGGAGCATCACATTTTGAGCCTCATAATGGTTCATATTTGGGCGTTATTCTAAGTGACCACAACATTCACATTCACAAGTGACATCAACATTCTAACTGTATTAATATGATCGACCTATAAGTGATCAATATTGTTTAAATGACTAGGAAACTGAGAAGGTTTGAGCATTCATCGCCATACTTGCTAAAAGCGGATAAACGATTTAAAAAGAAAAGTTCAGGTTTCCTAATAATGTTTTTTTTTCTTCACAGAATATCAATCATGTCTTAATAAACAAAGAAAGAAATTCTAAGTCAGATAAAGTAGCATTGATTATTGCCAGGTTTTGAAACTACACCCTCAGTGGTGATACTCTGTAACTTCTACTCAAACGCCCATCCAGGAGACATTTGTTTGTAAAGCCGGTGTTTTAACCTGGTCTTAAGACCTTTGGTTGCAATTACCTAAACATATTATTATGTTTTTCCAAGGCACTAATTGGAATATGCACTACGCCTGTTACTTTGTCATATTAGGATTGATTGACATTGATGTCCATAATTAAAATAGATCTAACGATACTACATAGACCTTACAAGTTGAATAACATAAATATTTAGCCATTTATATAAAGTATTATGTTCTTATTATGTGTCTTTAAATACATATTTGGTTAGCCTCTAACTGAAAATGGGGCTGCGCCATCTTTGTACGTTTAGGCCGTAAACATTTATTTGTGGAGGATTTTTTGCATTTTTTGAATTTTCTGTAACAAGAATAATTTTATGTTTTTACTAATTTAACAAAACAATGGTACAAAATAATGGTACTCAAGTATTAATTTTGGTTAAAGCATTCTGGCTAAGTTTCATTAAAGTATTTCATTACTTGTTTAGTTTTATCCAATTTCATTCAAGTATATAACATTTACCTAACTCTTCTGCCTTTTGTTAGAAGATTCTGATGTGTGTATGTAGCATTGCTTAGCAACTTAAAAAAAAATTTAAAAATATATCTTCCTTATAACGTCAAATACATTGCTCGAGAACATGTTCCATTTCTTTTTTCAAATTCAAAAAGAAAAATTCTTTACATTAAAAACGCTTAGCGTAAGAACTGGAAGTAGGAAAAAAATGAAGACAAATACCAAAACTGTAGGGTATTATGAGTCTGACAGTACCCTTCGGGCTTTCCCCGAGGGTGGTGGGTCTCCATGAGGATTTTCCAACCCGACACCAAAAAAAAGGGTATTATATCTTGACAGTATTTCAAACTCGACATATCGAAGTTTTGATTGTATGTTACGCAGTGATTCTTACTAATATTGAGCACCAACGAGGCTGTATAAGACTATCTATTTATAGAAATAATAAAAATACGTAACCGCATTATTTAGATTAGATTAGATTATAAAACAAAGCTCAATAACCGAGTTATTAAGTATAATATAAAAAAGTAACTGCGGTTTTTAACCTCATATAAATTGTTAAATAATATTACAAAATGCATTTAATTCTCACATTAATTATGGTTTTTATACTATGAAAATTCCTTTTTCGGAAAAATGTTGCTATTGTTTACATTGAAATAAGCTTGGTCATTGAAATTGCAATCTTATTTTTGGTGCACTAAGGGTGAAGTTATAATATTAAATGACGTGTTAGAAGTTTGTTACCTTGGATATAGTAAGATTGTTTTGTAAAAAAGACATCAACGCACGATTAGTGCAAATAAATAACTTTATTATTTTAATCGTTCTTTTTTTATTAAATTAACATATTCCGATTGCATACAGAACTAACTTTCATTGGTTAAATTTAAATATGCAAAGTACAATTTTATTTTTGTAACGGAAACTTTAAAACCTATTTATTACGTAACACCATTTAAGATAAGTTTAAGTTTTATTATAATTATTATACAAACATATTATATATTACTATAATTTAAAAATACGAAGAAAATTAAAACAAGACATTGCAAAAAACTCCTGCGCATGTGAAGGCGACCGAGGTGGCAATGTGTTTCTAATTGTGACAAAAACGACTTAAACGACAAAATACTACACGCAAAATAAACTTAAGTGTCGCAAGAAGTAAAGCTTAAAATAGCTTGACGCAAAACCAATTAACTTGACAGTGTGAATGGAGAAGGCTCGTCAACTACCACTCATTTGAGAAACTGCCTCAGTCCGCGACAAGCGTTCGTCGTTGCTGCACGCATGCGCGATCTCCTCTCATTGGCCGATTTGAATTTCGGATCCGAACGTTCTAACCGACCGGCCAATCGCGTTCGATCGTTTGATTTCTTTTCGCGTCCACTTTTTGCATGTACGTGATATTCCGTTAAGTGCCCTGTGCTTGTGACATTTGAAGACAGTGAATAAACGACTTATTGTTCTATGACAGAAGGTCGGATGTTTTCTCACGTTTTCTGGTAAGATATTAATGATAATAATTACTCTTAATTGTATCATTCGTCTGTTTTTTTTTTTTGTAAATCGCTCATTTATATATGAATTCGCACGGTCGTTGCTTGTTTGTGAATTTGTGACCAAGATTTTTAGATGTGTGTTTTGAAATTGTTACGACAATTCACTGCCATGGTTGCGCTTGCGCTCAACATTAACTAAGTTAAGAATTAAACAATACAGTGGAACTAAGACTACCTATACAAGTAACTTATACACCTGTTCTCCAAGTCATAAGTTTAAATGACATGTGTACACTTTTTTTTCTCTCCATACAGGGTGTTGTTTTTTATTCTACAGCTGCACCTTGCAAGCCTGCCATTTATCGGGCACGTGTCCAAATCAATTATGTAGTATTTTTATTAAAGCTTCACTTCTATAAATCTTAAATGCTTCCTATCAAGAAATCTATACGATCAGTATTGTTTTTCAAAAATGAGTTTGTTTGTCTTTCTTCATTCTCGATTTTCTGAAGACATGTATAAACAGACAGGATCAGGGGTAGAAATCTAGTGAGAATATGTTATAAATACTTTATTGAAGACATATTTCCAATCTATATTGTTCTAGTGATAGTTGGACAGAATAATCTTTACTTGGCCTAAATCAAAGACAGGATCTTCAACTTAAGTTTAACATATACAATAAGCATTTACTTAACGGTCTTAAAGTTGTATGTACATACATAAGATGTTCAAACACGGATGCTGAGATCATCGATATAGTGTTGAGCTTAATATATTTATATACATCTTCGAAATGACCTCATGTTAGTGTGAGGTGCATCACTATGTTATAAAGAAGTTATGATACATACAGCCTTTGGTAATTGGTAGTTAAAGTTTTTATTCATGCTTGAATTATAAACGAAAACATGATATTATGAGCTCTATTTACACATAGCGTATGTTTAAAAGAAAACAGAACTAACTCATAAAGGGGGGTATTTCAAAATTGAACCTTATCATTAAAACATAAGTTTAAAAATTTAAATATCTTTTTGGATTTAGGCCTCTTTTCTATTAAGCATACCTTAAGTTAATGGTTGATGCAGTGGCTGGACAATCAGCTGCTGTGTAAGTTGTCTTGGGCTAAATTCCCGTACGGAACTATTCCTTGTGTGATCTAGAAATTGTTGTTTCGGGTCTGGATGTGATGTGTATATGAAAATCGATGTTTCTGAAGCAACCACGATATAGAAGAAAATCCTAGTATGGTTCTCAATATTATCCAAACATAAATAAATGAAATTATTTATAGTTACAGTATGAAGCCTTTAATTAATGCTTGTGTATAGGAAAAAGGTTTATATATATATGTATGTACAAAACGTAAACTGCCTTGGCATATGGCAAAAGGTTAAGGACCTATAAGGCTACGAGTTTGGTGCCAAAGTCAACTGTATTATTATGGTATTACGGATAATAATAATAATGTTTCAATGTTTGAATTAGGACATTTTGTTACAAAACATTATATTCTTATTTTTGATACGTTTTTATTAGTTCGACCTGCAATGTCAATAATAAATCGGAAAATTTAAAGACTATTTCTACTGGTCAAATTAATTAAAGCTATCATTAAAAGGTCAAAATCTTTACTGTTATATCTAAGCAATTTGGTTTGAAAACACAACATATTATGTTATAAATTTTCAATTTAAATAACATACTTATTTCTGAAAGTATAGCTGTAAAAAATTGAAATGAATTATATTTATTGTGTAATGTATAATGAATTATAATTAAGTCAATGAATGAAATATGATTTTACATTTTATATTAATAATTCTTTAAAAAAAGTATAAAGCCCTCCACATATTTTGTCTTACTTACCCCTTAAACTGTTTATGAAACATCGTGAAAAATATAATTGAATCAACTAAAACTTTCAATGCCAATGTAATAAATGTATGTTTAAGTGTGGGAGACCCATGCTTCGGCACGAATGGGTCGGCTCGAACGGAGTGATACCACGGCCTCACAGAAAACCGGTGTAAACCAACCACAGCGTTGTGTTTCGCCATGTGAGTGAGGTTACCGGAGGCCCAATCTTTCCTCACCCCCAATCCGTCCTCAATCCTTAACTCTCCAAATCCCTAATCCCTAAAAGGTCGGCAACGCACTCGTAACTCCTCCGTTGCGGGTGTCCATGGGCGGCGCTGATTATTACTTACCATCAGGTAATCCGTCTGCTCGTTTGCCGATCTATTAAATAATAATAAAAAAATGAAGTTACAAATGAAAATAAGAATTTTCGCTTCATATATCTCGTTGATTTGATATTCATATCTTAAATATAATTAAGGCACCAGAGGATACCAGCACGCGATGGATGGATATGAATCAATTTCTGATTTACCACGATATTCAAATTAGAAGATTGATTATTAATTAATAATTAATTTTCCACTCTTAGCACGTTACAATGAAAAACTCAAGTTCCCTCCACTTTAATATTTAATAACATTAAATGTCAGTTTGTCTTTGTCAGTTTTTGACAATAACTTTTGTTTAGTCAAAAGTCAGACTATAGAAAATTTTCTTTAATAACACTACAGACACAGTCTTCGAAACTCAAATACCTAAAATCATCATTTAATATTATAGTGTCATCTTACTAAAATTATAAATGCGAAAGTTACCTACGATGTTTGGATGTTTGTTACATCATTCACGCCAAAAAGGCTAGACGGATCTGGATGAAATTTGGTACAGATACAGGATACACTCCTATGCCTGTGACAAATTACATTTTCATTTTTTTTATTCCACTTTCGCATTCTGGCGCAGGCGAAAACTAGTAATAACTAATGATATTGTTATTTATCTTTATAAGCACGTCCTTTACAGATAGTTAAATAAATTAAAATAATGGTTAACAGTTGCATATTGTAGTTGTTTTTGTTAGCTGTTCGTTTTCAAATCTTAATACAGTGAATAAAAACCATTGATAACAAAACCATCAGCTGATACTAACGTCCACACTTACACATTCACACACAATCCAGCTACCTACCTCTATAGCGCCAAACAACAGTTACTGATTAAAGATAGTTCGTAATTAGAGTAATTATTACTGTAGCTTATCCCTATGGCCATCTAATATATGTTCCAGTAAGAAATGATACTACTAACCTAGTTGTAAAATGGATAGTGTGATGGTGTTCAGTCAGGGTTGAGGGACAAGCGCAATAAGTCACCGCGGCCTCGGCCTAGAGCAGGTGAAGGAACAAGGGACTTCTAGTCAGTAAGAGTCTGACTAAAAAAAACAGTGACAGTGAAATTATGTTTGTGTATTTAAGACAGAGGTTTTGGTTAATGCATCCTTATTTACAATTACTACTTTACTTAAATTATTAACATTATACATGTGTTTAAGTGTGGAAGAGCCGTTCTTTGGCTCAACCGGAGTGATGCTAAGGCACTGTGTGAGTAAGGTTACCGGCGTCAAGTCCTCCCCACCCCCATTTTAAATCCCCAAGTTCCCAACTACCCGCGAACTAACTGCCAGTAACACACTTGAATAATGAGTTCGGTGTTGATGGACACCCGTCTATGAGCGGCACTGATTTCTTTTCATCAGGTGATCTCATCTACCCATTTGAAGACCTATCGCATTAAAAGCTTTTTGAAAATAAATAATAATGAGTAAAATGGCTATCGTCTAGTTGTGACAAAATTGACAGCAAAATGACCCTGCACACCTGTCTCTCCAATCGACATATGTACCGTAACGCTTTTAAAATAAAGGCCACTTTTGTACAACACTTTAACATTCTAACATTTGAATAAGATCTTTTTTTTCTACAAATAATATTCTGTACCTACAATTTTCTACCGACAAAATTCTTGAGACATCTTCATTTGGCAACACCAAAGAGTCTAGTTGCAAAATTTAGTTTGACATTTCAAATGTTCTAAATTTAAATATTGTGTTATTTAAATTTTGTTTTAATTTATTTATTTATTTATTTATTTATTTTTTTATTTATTTAACCTTTATGCACAACGTACATAGGTGGGCTTAATGCCAACAAGCATTCTTGCTAGCCAACCTTTGGGTGATGCAGTAAGAATATGGTCGGTGCAAAAAAGTACAAGAGCTAACTTAAAAAAAAAAGTAATTAATTAAAATGCATAATACAATGAATATAATATAATAATATAAATACAAACATAATAATATGCATGAATACACATATAATACATAAGTAATACATAATACATATAAAATACATAAGTAAAATAATATATATTATATAACCATATACTACATACATAAGTATAGGATATTCACATAAAGTAGGATAGTTTATAATAAAGAAGATTTTGCCAACTTTCCCTCCAAGATACACTTATGATTTATGTAAATTCTTATTTTAAAACGTGTCTGGAATTGAGAAGAATGTTCTAGTAACTGTTAAGAATTAATACAATATGATAAACTATTTAAATAAATATGTGAATCTGTACTAACAATCACAATAGTGGAAGGTTGATTTAATTTTAGATTCTGGTCCAAAATATTAAATTGATTTTTTTATTTATATTAATTATACTATTATATCAACTAAGTAATTACAATCCTCTCATTACACCAATTTTAGTTTTATAGTAAACACTATTAAGTTTAAAATTAACAAAACATATTATGAACTTACAAAAATCATTGTAAGCGTCTAAATATAGACATTATATTGTTACATCATATCAAGTCTTAGATAATATAATTAACTAAAGCATTTAATTCTTTGTCTTCCTTTAGTCTTTAAAATAATCACTCTTTATATTCGCCTAACTTACCATAGAGACTTCATTGAATAAAACCTAGAACGGTTTTGTCTCAATATAAAGCTGGCTGTTGGCTGTATCTTTTACAACGCATTGTCCAGAAAGATGGCGGACTTATGTCATTGTGACATTGTGACGTAACTTGTCAAACTAAACAATTGTCACTTGGTTCA